TATCAAATTTTACCGTTAGTCAGTATGTCACGTTAAAAAAACTACTGATAAACTTAAAATTACGACCAGCTTATTAATTTCGAAATATTTAACCTGATTTCTAATTTTATGAAATTGAAAGTTAAAAGTAATTGTATGTTGTTTATAGCAACACTTCACTGTGATAAAAATTAAAGAAGACCCTGTGCATCCACAAGAGCCGGTACAGCCAAATGGCGGCTTGGTATTTTAAGCTAAAGAAAGAGTAGTATGCTGTAGTCAAACTCATAAAATCTAAAACATACATAGTATGTTTATTTAATAGAAATGTTTGTATCAAATATACCAAATAGACAAAAAAAATAATTTAAATTAAATAAATGAATACGATGTTAAAAGTAATGTGTTTATTGACATCTACTTGTATACTATCATTTATCTAAATCTTTATTTCATTAAATAAATTTAAAAACTAAAATAATTATATTGTTAACATTTATTTTAATATTTACAGATTATGCTGAACTGTTGACGTATTGTCAACAGTGATTTAAATATTTGTGTTGACCTGTTGAAACTGAATCTGATGGAGCGTTGGGCACAATTTCTATCTCATTCAATCTTCCAAAATTTCAGATGCGCAAGTATGTCTTGGGTACAAGCCACCACCTTTGACCTTTTACGTCTTAATTTCCAGCAGTGAACAAACAACAACTAATTATGTCTAGTCGCACTAGATTCCCTAGATACCTTTATACTGGGTATAAAACAGTGTAGTAATTTGATGTAAACCTTTAACGAATCTCGTTGGCCAGGTCTGGGCGGCCTCCGTTTTTGGAGGATAGCTATATTCAATATGACGGCCGAGTCTTTAACCATATATGGCGACCGCGTTGCATTTTGGGATAGATTATCCTCCAAGATTAAAAGATAAAACAGGTAATTTTCAAACGCTTTGTGCCTACCTTTAATCAAAAAGTGCAAGCACCAGAGTACATGTAAATAAAAGTTCAAACATTAAACTATCGATTGTATGTGGCAATTGGAATTTCTATGTCTAGTATTTTTACAATACGCTTTCAAAGGTGACCCTTCTTGCGCTCCATAATCAGCCGCATTGCAGAGCATGACGAGCACCGAGATGGTGTGTAACACCAAAGAAGAGGTAAATAAACGTTATATATCTCTAGTTAAATAATTCAAGCTGTAATTTTTTTTTGTTAATGTTATATTTAATGAGCATATGCAAGCATGTTATGAAGTAAATTTGTACTCTTTTTTGTGAATTTATTGTTTTTTTCGGCCCGTGGACATTTCGAATTTCCTCGAACAGTTGTTGATCATATATTTCTATAAGTTTACCGTTTTTAGAAATGATTGGTGATTTAATACGTTAAGCTCATGAATTAAAAATGTGAGAGGTACATTATCAGTGATTATAGTGACTAAGAGCTTGCGTTTTTCTTGAACTTGTGTTGTTGTGTTTAAACAGGTTGGGCACACACTGCCAAATGGTCATTTAACCCCCGTTTGGTGGTCATTCGCCCATATCGGCGTCTTTATTAACCACCAAATGGGAGAGAAAAATCGTTCTGCTCAGTTCTCTGGAATGAAGTGAAATGGCGCATAATTTCAACTCACGGGGAATAAAATATAGATATTTATCTGTACTTTGAACGAAAAAAATTAAAATTTCAACGCGGACTTTTTTGCGCAGTGTCGTTCAAATAATTGACAAAATCGTCACCTATATGTAAACAAATGTAACGTTGCTCTGTTTTGACTTTAAAAGAAAAATTCCCTCCGTTTCGCGCGTAGTTGAGCCTATCAATCGTGTTGATCGCTTCATATTTCTGTCATCCGGGCAACCGATCAATTATCTAAACCAATCAAAAATGACGATCTTTTCCAAACTTGGGTCAAAAGACTGAATTCACTACGGAGGCCAATAAGTGTAAATTTTCAAAAAGTAAAATAAGAGGAATGGTAAGAATTCGCTTTTATTTAGTTTATTTCGTAAGCAATGGCTTTATTCTTTATAAAAATGCGATATGCAGTGAATTTATGTTAAAATAATCACTCGAAAATCATAATCTTGGAATAAAATCAGGAATAATTGCAAATGTCACTTTTGTAAATCTTTTATTCAAAATTTTTAATAAATATAGTAGATACAACATAGATATGCATACTAAACCACAAATGGTCGCACAGAAATCGTAACTTCATCCTAAAAGAAAATAAAGAATAAATGTTACATTCAAATGTACGAAAAATGAATTTTATAGCACTAAGTGCCCACCATACGAATAAGATTCGAGGAGCTCGTGTTTAACGGGATTTTATAAAGATTTATATAGAAGCAGATCGAAAGATCGTTTGAAAAGTTACTTCTCTAGACTAACACCTCTTGCTTAAATGTATTTTTTACCGAACTATACACAACAAGATAATTTTTTGTATTGTTTGAGCTAATAGTTCGGCCGTCACGAACAGCTGTGGGTTTCGTTTTTACGAAGTTCCACTGAAATTCCACATGGAAAATTGACTAAATTGTATTAAATGTGCGATGAATATGTTAATTAAAATCCCCCAATGCCTTAGTAAATGCGCTTTTGCTTTATTTCAATGAAAATTGGATTTAAATAAAAAAGACCACCATTTGGTAGGTAAAAAAGACGCCGATATGGGCGATTGACCACCAAACGGGGTTTAAATGACCATTTGGGGGTGTGTGCCCAACCTGTTTAAAAGTCTGGAAACATGGGAAATGCATATTCATGATATTGAACTGTGTCAATATTTGTTAAATTTTGAACAGATGAATATAATATGAACCATCCGTATGAAATATTGATCTCTTAAATTTTGAATTGTGTGCAATTATTATGACTTGATAAATTAAGAAAGATCATAGTCTTAGTAGCTTGCAGCAGGTAGGTACAGATAGTGTCAAAATGCTAAAACCAATTTGTACAACAGGGTTCCTGAAAGGGGAAAAATTGAAAAAAATAAAAAATAGATTCTTATTTTCTGTAATTATGTTGAAAGTGAGGTTTACTTGTGTATTCATTTAAGGAATGTTTTTAAGTTTTGTGTGAGTTATTGGTGTGTGAATCACACAGACTTGTGGGTACTAGAGATGTCGGACTATAACAGAGTCGGACTATAACAGAGTCGGACTATTACAAAGTCAGACTATTACGGAGTCGGCTTATTGCAGACTCGGCCTATGCATTTATAAGTATTATAAATAACACAAATATGTATTTTTATTCATTTCTTACATTTATTATTTAATTTAGTATAGTGAGTAACTTTATTATGAAATATTATATCCTTGGTTCAACTGTATTATGTTTTTTATAAAAAAATATATTTACGAATTAATAATGCTATAAATAAAAAATGAAATATTTTATTGTTTGCATATCAATTTATGCATACCACGGCCGGTTTACTTGGATTACACAAAGGTGACACACGGAAGCCATATCTAGGGGCTGTATCCATTTGACACTATTAGACTCAAAAACACCTAAATAATTATTTTAATCGATGTTTTATTAATTGTTAATCACATTAACTCAAATGAATGTGTATATAACTTATAAAATTGAAATTTTCCATTTTTTTTTTATTTTTTGATGTATATAAATAGTTTGCATTTAGTACAAACTTTAAAATTTTCTCTCCATTTATTTGTTTATTCTCGGTTGACAAAAAGAATACGATAATTTTCAGGAGAGAAATCTTAAAATCACATCAACACAATTAAACATCTTTATTTGGAATAAGATTTTTTTTAGGTACAACCAAAAAAAATCCTAATTATAATTCGATCCATGCATAACACCCCCCCCCCCAAAAAAAAAAACTTTCAAAGCAATACGTATATATGCTTGAAAAAATCTTTTTTGAGAATTGTCTGTTAACCATTTGTTCTTGTTGCTTTTCCTCTCATTTTCGTTTATTATTTTCAATTTATTTTTCAATATACCGAGCTTGCATCTTTTTTTCAATAGGTAAATGACAATAGTGAGAAAAGGAAGTTTGTCAGGTCAGAATTTGCCCTCTATGTCATGGAAGTTATAAATTATATTTTTACTAAAGAATGAAAGAAAAAAATGTCGCAGCTTGTAAAATTAATAATGCGCGGTAAATGCTGAAACAAGTGCATGTAGGTAATCATCACATTTTAACTGACTAGTGTACCTTTTTTTTTTTTTTTTTTTTTGAAGACACGATTATTTCATTTATCCATACAATAATGATTTATTTTTGTGAATTAAGTAATCTGTACCCAAATATTCTCGTAATCTCCACTGCATAAAAAATACAGGTTTACAAAAAAAAATGTTATATATCAGAACAAATAAATATATCTGCAGAAGTTTTTTTGCGTTTCCTTATTCTATAATTTTATAAATTTTATCTAAAATACTCTAAACTTTGGAGTACTAAAGTATGTATATAATCTATTCACGTTAGTGAAGAACTTGAAAAATCACTTCATGTCAAAAAATAGCTGGTTTACAAAAAAATTAAATACTTAATCACTAGCACCTATATTATTTTCCATATGAATATTAATCAATTTAATGCGTTAAACTTATGCTATACACTTTAAAATTTTGGCCATAGGCCGACTCTGTTATAGTCCGAGTTTGTGTAGGCCGACTCTGTAATAGTCCGACTAAGTCATAGTCCGAGTTTGTTATGGGATGAGATCTCACGTATTCAGACTTAAATTGTCACGTAGGCATATTTCATGAAGCGTGCTAGTGCACTTCATGAAAAATATGCTTACGTGCAAGTCAGTGTGATTCTCACACCAATAATTCACACTAAACTTAAAAACATTCCTTATATTTACATTTTACATGTTTGGAAGCACCGAAAATATACTCAATATTTGAATTTCTTGCTGCCCAATGTTGTTATACTAACTTTTACTAACGTCACTGTAGCCCTATTCTGACATCATGGTAACGTACATCTCTCCATGTATATTTCCAAGCGTAAGTATACACGAAAATCAATTTCACAGTTGGCTTAGTAGGAAAACACAGCAAATGTAAATATTTTGTTAAATTGATATTAAGAAACATGATATTTTTGTTTATCCTGTTTATGTACATCTTAGGGAAAACACTTGAAAAGAAAAATCTACTTTTGCCTTTAAGTAATGAAAGTCACATATTACTACATCTGGATAGATATGTAAAAAAACTACGTATGCTAACTCTTGATTTCCGCCTACATTTTACACCTATTTAATTCAATATTGATGACAATTTGGCCATAAAATCTTTGTTGAATGAAAAGATCTGTTCAATTATAATTGATAGATAATTTTAACACCAGTGTAAGTGATAGTTTTGAAAATACTTATTTCAGCTATATTTTGTTTCCTTCCTTAAGAATGTCATCATTTTTACATATTTTTATCTTAATTTTCTAGAGCTGAGTATGATGTCACAATGCCATTTAAAGAAATTTGCAGCAACAAATTGCATGAAGTGTGGTTACACAAAAACAAAGACAGTCTTTCTGGGGACCCAAATCGCCTCATTCATCGACCACTTGCTGTCCTTAAGAGAAATTTTGCTGATGTAAATAATGTAGATCCAGTAACATTTAAGCGAGCCAAATTCTGCAATTTTTGTGTGAATGAATTGACTTCCTATTGTACCAAAGGCAACGATCATGACTACACTGGA